ATTTAGGGTTAGGTTAAGGGTTAGGATTAGATTTAGGGTTAGGTTAAGGGTTAGGTTTGGGGTTAAGTTTAGGATTAGGGGGGTTAGGTTTAGGTTTAGGGGTTAAGTTTAGGTTTAGGGTTTACAGCGTGCTTCTGTCTCCACGCTGTTATCGCCCTGTTGATGATGTCAATGACGCGGTTCAGTCGGGCGCGATTTTGACGTTCGCCCTTTTGACGGGTCACGCAAATCCTTAGTGTTAAATGTGATTAGCATTATAATCAAATGTGATTATGTAATGGATTTTGGTTATCAGTTTTCAAAAATATTTGATTCAGCGATGTTTAATTATTATATTTGAAGGCATCAAATTTAATATAATGTTGTCATGCCTAACAGCAAAGTCAGACAAGGATTTAAACATTTTAAGATCTGAGGAATTATTTAACACACCAGAAGTAAAAGCAGATTCTGACACTGCAGTATCTGACAGTTTCACCTTTAGATTTTATAGTCAAAACGTTTCTGGATACTCCCCTGTTCCTATTCTTTCCCAATCAGAAATAACATTTTAGTGTTATCAGAAAATCTGTTTATATATACAGTAGCGCTAAATTGAGAACTGAAGTTTTGACAGCTGAATTTCTACTGCTGGTGTTTTCAGGGTTAAATAAACATTTGGACCAAGTTCTAAATTGCTCTTCCAGTTTAGATGTTACCTGGGCTGAGCTAGTGTTTCTTCCTTATCAACTCTTCTCGGATCATAAAATAATATCATCTGAGCCGCCTTATCATTCCCCTTATCCTTATCATTTAGTTGAGAATAAGATTCCTGGGCATAGACTGTTTAGCAATAAATCACTTTAATTGGATCTTCATGTGTGGACCTGGTCTTTCGCACCTGACACTATGTCTTATTATGTAAACATCCAAAACTCTCCTTTCATGCTACCTGGAGCTTGTATTCAGATGCTACTGCTTTCATGTCAGAAGCACTGAGGCACTTGCAGGTTGAAGGAATTAGCTGGTGACATCATCATTGCCCCGGAGACACTCGGGTGGGGGCTCCTTTCATGTCTCTGTTAATGTGCCCACCAAAGTGGTACCTATTTATCGAGTTGTGTTTGCATACTTTTGAACTGCCAGGTGGGCAGGAGCTGGAGTGAATGATGGGAGCTAATGTTGGATCTTGAATGTGGGCTTGCTAATTATTAACCCAGTGCTCTAACCAAGTGAGCTATCAGGCTCCTCTCCCTATTCAGATCAATGAGGTTTCAATTTGATGGTTACACCTTGGGTAGGTAGGCTCCATGTGGTTCCTATGTATTCTGAACTGAGTTTAGCACTAGCTTATTAAATAGGTAATGATTCATATATAATATATTTTAACACATCCTAAATCAACAAGAAGAAACCTCAACTGTTCTGAAGTGCTATTTTTGATCGTGATTGTAGTGTTTCTGTGAGGTTTGCACGTTCCTCTGAGATTCCTGCAAAATTATTTTTTATCTTTTATTTTTCAATGCAGTGCTTATCACTATACAAACACAAGGCTGACTTTTGTTTAGACAGTCTTTTTTTAAAAATAGTAATATTTTATATTTAAGTTACTCTTGCAGGTGTATTGAAGGAAAATCTAACAGCTATCCTGTCCTTCTTTTATTTAAGACCATTAGAAAATCTTATCATATATAGCTCCAGAGAAGCTAACTGATTATAATCAGCAAGTGTGTTGGTTTTGACATTGTATCTATACAATTAGTTCAAACACCACCAGTGACAGGTTTGTACCTGCCAACTAATCTTTCATGCACTCTTTGCAACTGTATTCCTTCTTACACCCTTATTTGAGTCATTTATCAGACTATGATAGGAAGAGTTAATGTTACTATTTTTATGAAAATTGTAGTAGTCATGGAAAAGTTGTACCAAAAGAAAGAGTAACTTACGTTTCTGTAAGTGACCTGCATGGTCCACAGTCTTTTTTGTTTAGTATGCCTTCGAAATGGCATCAAATATCCTGTATTTCATTGTAACAATATGCATACAAGTGAAATAGAAAACTAAAATATTTGAAGACTCATCGTATCTGATTTTGAGTTTGAATTGTACATTTTGAGGGGCGCAATAAGCAAAATGATTTCCATCACCTCTTGAAATAACTTCTAATTATTTTGACAACATTCCTGAGACATTATTTTAGTTTAATTCCATATAATTAACATTAATAATGAGAGCTGAGTGGTAGTGAGCTTTACATAAGCCTTCTTCGTATCTGGTGAAAATACAGAGAGCTCAATAAATAATTTGTTTCCTGTTTTTCATCTTGCATGTTTGTTTGTTTGTTTGTTTATTTGTTTGTTTGTTTTTGTGCCTCCAAATCAGTGTCAAATCCTGCCTGGACATGTCCCTATTATTTTGGCAAAATTTCAGAAGTAGTTTGCCATTGCCTCCTTCCTAGGTCTGAGAGGAAAATGACCAGCAAAAAGCCACCCAACTGGCTTTGTGTTTAAGGCATATTTAGAACTCAATCTCCCAGTTTCTAGCCTGATGCCTTTGCCACTGCACCAAATTAGCTCCTGTTAGATCCTTGCATTGGATTTACCTTCTTTTCTTTATGTTTTCCTTTGCTTACTTCAGCTACAGATCCCTTTGCATCTTTGTTTGGAAATGAATCATTTGGCTGTGATTTTGCTGATTTCAGCACTTTGTCAAAGGTAATTTGAAATGATTAATGCTTGTGGACAAAGCATAAAATTGCTCAGGAACAAAATAAAACTTCAGCAAACATTATTGTAATTTAAGTAACTTGATTCTCATTTTGAACTATGTCTCATTAACTATGGTATTATTTGTTTTCTTAAAAGCATTGTGGTTAATGGGAAATTGCATCATAGGCATTTGTTCATTAGCTCAGCTGTCCAACTTTTGCAGCTTGGCAGCCCGGGGAGAGGGGAACTGTGTCATGTGAGGAGCAGGCTGGCATGTATGCACACACAGCTCAACTGCAAGTTGAGCTGTGTGTACATGTGCGTATGTGCTGCTCACACAAGTCAACTATGCATGCGCTGGCCCCGTTCCGAATAGGCCATGGCCTGATAGTGGGTCTGGGGGTTGGGAACCCAATGCCAGCTGTCAACTACCCGGAGGAGGGCATTCTCTGTGGCTGCTCCGGCCCTCTGGAACGATCTCCCCGTGGAGATTCGGACACTC